AGTAAGCGGCGGTGTCGCTGACCCAGTACTTTACGGCCATCCACACCAGTCTCGTGGTGACGCTCTTTTGGTGTCTGTTCTTCAATGGCTTTGTTCCCTTCCAGTTTGTCGAGGACGGCACTCCGCTGTCCATGTGGGTAAGGCGGGACCGCTGACGCAGGCGCTGAGAATAAGCTGCATCGTCGTCTGGTGCATTTCCTTTCTGATTTCGATTCTGACCTTTAAAAATGCCGGCGGGCTTTCTGCTGCGGCGCCTGGAGCCCTGTTTGCGCTCTACTTTATTGTTCCGCTTGCGTTTGTGACGGTGTACTTTGGGCTGCAGGTGGTGATGGTCACGACCACCCTGGAGGACAGATGGCCAATCGGTAGGTCCAGACGGCGGCTCATGGGCAGTGGACATTTTGCTGGCGGCAGCGTTCTTCATTGCCGGAGAAGTGTTTGCGTTTGCGCTCTCGAACCAGACGTGCGGTCTGGCCCAGCACTACCTCGACGGGATGTTTTTCTCCACCATTTTCAATCTACTGGCGGTGATGATGGTGTACAAATTCTGGGATAGCATCACCAAGGAGGATTTGGAGTTTTCGGTCGGGATCAAGAGCCACACGTGGGAAATCAAGGATCCGCTGCTGTCGGATGCCGCCATGGCAAACATGCAAAACGCAATGCTGGACTACGGCTCGACACAACCTGCCCTGTAGCGCTGTATCTGATATTTAAAGTGATTTCTGCTCCAAGCCAAGCGCCGTTCTGCCGAGATTGGCGCCGACATCTCTGCTCTGGAGCCGCTCTGGCTGCGGGGATGCGGTTTATTCACAACTATGGGGCGTGAGGGGCATTGGGAAGAGGGGGGAGCAGCGAGGTGTCTAGCTTTTCGACCGCTTCCGCCGTGTCCGAGACGCCAGGGGCGGTTTCGACTGCGGCAGGGCTGTCCTGGAGTGACATCGTTTCGATGAGCGGCAGAACCGACCTTTCGACCGTGTCCAGGTGCTGATACACGGCCTGGTGCGCCGCCAGCAAGAACTGCTCTTGGTTGGTCTCGACCATTCCCCTGGTGACCTGCCGTTCCACATAGGGGATCAGGAACGAGGTAATCAGGTCCGACACCATTTGCTCGTCCGACGGAGGCTGCGTCTGGGTGCTTCGCAGCTGGTCCATCTCGAGGTAGTACTCCTGGGCCTGGCGCTGGGCCTGTGACTTGGCGGTTTCCTGGACGCTCGAGGCAATCACCTGCTCCAGATACGTGTCGACGGTTTCCTGGTGCACGCTCATGACCTGTCGGAATATAATGTCCTGCTCGGCCTGGCGAATCAGCTCCTGCTGGCGGGCCCCGCTTTCCTCGGCCTCCCGCATCTTCCGTGTTCGCTCGGCCAGCTTGACCATCGCGGCAATGCGCCGCTCCTCGCGGAGCCGCACCAGTTGCTTGGTGAGAAAGTCGAGCGTCTTTCCGACATACTCTGCCTGCACGGCGCTCTCAAAGCTGATGCCCCTTTCGTCCAAGTGCTTGACAAGGATGCTCGTGTCTCCCTGCGGCTCGCGGGCTGTTTCTTCTCGGTGGATGTCGCGAAGCACCCGTCTTGCTCGCAGCTCGTTGATCAGCTCGAGTCTTCTTTCCTTTTCTACATGGACGATCAGTGTCTGGTGCTTACGTTTGTAAACGTCCTGCTGCGCTGCCCTGCCTCGGATCAGATTCTGCAGCAGGTGCGCAGCAATTTCCATCTCTTCGGTCTCCTCGGATCTACCATGAGCGCCGGGCGGCTTACGGAATGACGATGGAAGGAGTGGATGGCCGCACTGGCGGCTTTTCGATGCGCACGGCGTACTTGAGGGGCGGCTTCACCTGGTTCTGTCGCTCCTTCCTCTGCACCATCTTTTCGTTCATTTTCTCCAGCTGTTCCTTCAGGACTTTTTCTCTTCTGGCCTCGGGGGACTTGTCGTTGCCGACGGCCCTCTCGATTCGAGGCTCCAGCACCGACTTGGGCAGAGACATCTCCAGGTGGGCAAGACCTAGCATCAGCGCGCCGCCGGCAATACCCGCATAGTGGTCCAGCTCCTCGAGCTTCACCTGCAGCGTGCTGGCGGCCTTGTCGCGACACAGCCCTTCCCGTGCCTTGGGGGCATACACCCTGCTGGCATAGTTGCCGTATTCAGCAATAATGTCCCGCTTCTCGACCTTGTTGTCGATGCGAGCCCGCTGGTCGGCCAGCTTGCGCAGCGACTTGATGCGCTTGCGGTTGATCTTCTCGAACAGCGCCTCCCGCTCCTGCATCTTTCGCTGCCATATCCTCTCCACCCGCTTGTCGTTTTCCAAGTCGTTTTCGCGCTCGCGCTGTCGGATGACCTGTTCCAGCACCTCGAGCCGGGCCTCCTGCAGCCGCTTGATCTCCAGCTCGCGCTCCTCCCACTCCTTCAGCTCCATCTCCTCCATCATCTTTAGTCGCTTTTCGAACGAGGCTTGGTCCGTCACAATCGGCAGCGAAGCCTCCCACACCCGCTTGACTCTAGCCCGCTCAATCATTTCCAGCTCGGCCATGCCCGCTGGCAGTCCATGTCCGTACGAAAGCGAGGCGAGGGCCAGCAGCTCGGGCGGCGGATCGTTGGGCTTGAAGATGTAGTCGGGCGAGTAGGGGTCCGTTTGGGTCTCGCTGACTCGATACATGGTCTGGACGGCAACCGTTTTGGACGTGGCCACTGGCGCCTTGACGACGCTTGCGACGGCATCCGACTGCTTCTTTTTGGCATAGATGACCTGTCCGGAAAAGACGGGCTGGAACGGCATGATGGGGCGTCGAAAGTATTTGAATCGGTTCTGTCCCGACACGGCGTGGTGTTCGACCACCGTCCTGCGATCCTGGCCAATCCCCGACGGAAACGGATTCATTTTCAGACGATACTGCATGGGTGGAAAGTGCCGAAGAGCGCTAAACATGTTGTCGAAATGAGGATTGATAATCTGACGCGTCAGAGACAGCTGCCTACCACTTGCTGCGCCTGGGAGCGAGTCATTTGCTTGACGTGATCTTTGCGAGAAGAGACAGTAAAGGTCGAGTCGTAGATGTAGTCGTGGGGACGGTTTGGCATCACGCCCGTGTGAGCTTGAGTAAGAGCCGCCATGTTGTTTTGCGAAAGCGACGTCAGCCTGTTTACGACACAACCCTCGCCGAGTAGAAGCTTAATTGGCTTGGCATCAGGAAATATCTAGAACGGCGGACACGTAGCAGCACTGGCCGGAGTGGAAAAATTGTCAGACAGCTTTTGCCCCAACAAATGACTTTGACTGTGGCCCTGACTGCTGAACATGCCCTTCCTCTGTTTGCCGGCATTGCGTCCTGTGTGATGGTGACTTACCTGGGCAGCAAGGTGAGCGGAGCAAGAAAGAAGGCAAAGGTGCCGTACCCACACATGTACTGCAGCCCGGTAGGTCTTGGTGCGGCTCATCACATGGCAGGAGGAGTGTGAAAAAGACAAGGCAAAGCACATCTTTAACTGTGCCCAGCGAGCCCACCACAACACGCTGGAAAACTTTCCCTCGTTCCTGGTTCTCCTCGCGACCTCTTCGATCTTGTATCCCACCTATGCCGGTGCCTTGGGCTTTACCTGGATTGTGGGCCGCATCATGTGTAAGGCTGGGCCGACTAAGCGTAGATGCCAACGGCTACATCTCTGGAAACCCCAGCAACCGCCAGCAGGGAGTCGTTCAGTACGTTGGGCTGTTGGGAATGCTGGGATTGAGCGTCTCTACCATCCTGCAGGTTGCGGGTCTCGTCTGAGGCGAATAAAGGTGCAAACACGATCTATATTGCGCGCTATACATTTTCGATGGCGGTGAAGCGCGTTCGGGCTACTTCAATGTTTCGGATCACCAGCGAGCTCTGGATGCTGGTGTCGGAAAGCACCATCATGATAAAGGTGTTGGTGGTCAGCGGCCGGATAAAGATGCTGCAGGCCGGATTTCGGATTTCGACCGTCTGGAACTGCGCCTGGCTCTTGCTGCACGACAGCTTGAACTGCTTGATGATGTTGCTGACCTTTTCGAATCGGCTGGTGTCGGAAAAATAGGTCGAGTTTTTGGTGTGGGAGATGACCAGAAAGGTGGTCTGGCGTTAGACTCTTGCCCGCACCTTTTCAAAGAGCACGACCTCGGCTGCCTCGCAGACCTTGCAAAAGCGCTCGAGATCGCCCTCGAGAAGCCCCACGTTGGGAATCAGCGAGTAAACAATGCTGGACCAGGCCCGGTACAGACTCTCGTCCCAGATCGAGGTGGCAAAGATGGTTGGTTCGGAGGGATAGCACCGGTTTTTCAGCTCGAGGTTCCATTTTGCAAGAATCTGGCTCAGCAGCCGCGACGTACCTTGTCCCGTCGGGAGGGGTCTACCAGATCCATCTTGTGGACCAGACAAAACACAGCCGCATCCTTGCTGTGCTCGTGGATGCCCTGCATCATGCTCTGAAAGTAGTTCAAATCCTGGGATCAGCGCTCGAGCGAGTACCTTTTCCACCTCGCGGCTCTCGACATCAAACACATAAATCAGCAGCTCGACATTTCGGAATATCTGCTCTCTCTGGCTGGAAATGTAATTGTCCATAAACGACTCTTGCCCTCCACAATCCCTACCATGAAACCGCAGCCCATACCTAGGATAAATGCCGGCGCAGAGCCTACCACAAATTCAGCACCAAATTGCCCAGGAAGCGCACGTGGTTGTGCTCCACATCGACTACGGTTAGCGACCATGCATACTGGTAGCACCGAGCCGGCGGGTGTCTCTGGCAATATAGTTGGCAAAGATGATGCTCCTCATGCTGGTTTTCCCCGCTCCCGACTTTCCCATCAGCAGTATCTTCTTTTTGGCCATGGAAATGTTTTGGGGAAACAGGCGAGCGCTGCTCCTGGACGATCCAAGAACGGCCACCGCGCCAAGAGCAGCTACCAGCCCGGAGCGTCCAGTGTCAAACCTAATCCGGTGCCATTGATGTCACGCACTCTCTCGATGAGACTTCGACTCTCCTTAGCTCAGTTGGTAGAGCATCTGACTGTAATGGTATTGTTATCAGGTTGTCGTGTGTTCGACTCACACAGGGGAGATTTTTTGTTTTATTTGCCGATGCAGCATCTACTGGCTGCCTGGCCTGCATCCGTGGTGGGTTTTGAGCCAACGAAATGAACCCTGCCGACGTTGCCGTGGATGTAGACACCGAGTGGCCCACAATGGACAGGCCAAGCCAGCCGGCTCTCTATCCTCCCCACCATGGCAAGCAGCCCATCGCACCGCTGCGACGCACCAGAGAACCGCCCTGTTTGGCCTTCAAATCCGTGCTCGTGGTGGTCCTGCTAACGTGGACTCTGAGCATCTTTTACATCGTCTATACTATTTCATGAGCGGCAGCCAGTAGTCGACCTGTTGGATGCCTGGGTCGAAGCAGCTTTGCAAAAAACAAAACATGACATCGTTTTATGATGAAATTGAAATCGAAGACATGACGTTTGACGAAGAATTAGAAACTTATTTCTTTCCTTGTCCGTGCGGCGACAAATTCCAAATCACCCGAGAAGAGCTGGCTCAGGGCGACGAAATTGCCCACTGCCCCTCTTGCTCGCTCATTCTTCGGTACGGAGCCGTGCGGGCTAATGCTGTAGCGTTATTTACGACCCCGAAGACTTTGCTGACGACGAGGAAATCACCTTTGGAGAGTCGCTCGTGGCAGCAACATGACCTGCATACAAGACTGCAGTGACTCGACTAGACTTGTGCAGAGCTGATGGCAGGAGTGGGTTGCCTGCTGGACACTGGCCGATGACGAGTTTGTATTTTATTTAATATAGCCAGATTCCCGGCCAGCCAAGCGCTTAACGAGGGGAAATTGCACTCAGCAGCCCAGATCCCTTCATTGGGTTCGTCAGGGAAAAGAGAAAGTCCACGCCAGTCAAATCTATGGGGTCGATGTTGAACTGGACCAAAATACAAACCAGCACAAACACTCCCTGCAGCTCTGCCAGAGTCTTGCCCAGACAGATGCGCGGTCCGCAGTTGAACACTGGATACTCGTACTGAGAATATGTCTTGCCGCCCAGCCATCGCTCCGGATCGTATTTCGATGCGTTTTCCCAGATTCGCTCCGAATGGCCCATCGCGTAGTTGTTCCAGGACAGTTGTGTGCCCTTTTTGATTTTCAGGCCGTTGGGGAGGACGTCGTCGCCAATGGCTTCCTTTCCGTCTCGACGCACCGACGGATGCAGCCGCAGGCTTTCGTTGAACACTGCCTTGGCGTATTTCATCTCGCGCACCTGGTCGTAGGAAGGAATTGTTTCCTCTCCCATGACGGCCTTGGCCTCCTTCACGAGCTTTTCAACCACCTGGGGATGCGTTGCCAAGTCGTACAGGGTCCACGACAGGGCCTGGGCGGTGGTGTCGCGGCCAGCGATAATAAAATTAACTACCTGATCCACCAGCTCGTCGTCGGTCAGGCTCGAGCCGTCGTCCTTCTTGAAGGCCATGAAAAGAGACAACAAGTCTTTTGTTCCAGTCTCGCTTTGCTCTTTTCGTTTTTGGACCAAATCAAGGCCAAACGAGCGAATGGTTTTGACGTCTCGGCTGTACTGGCCAGCAAACTTGTTTTGGAGCCACAAGAGCGGATTCATCATCATCTCCGAGATTTGCAGCTGAGCGCGATCAAATGCCGAGACAAAGGGGAGCTCCTTGTACGTGAGAGACTGCAGGTCGGCCCCAAACGCAATCTTGCCAAAGCTGTCCATGAAGAAGCGGTAAAACAAGTCGTGCATGTCCACGGGCTTCCCTATCATAAACCATCAAACCGTACCGCTCTTGGAGTGGGACTGCAGCACCGCCAGCAACAGCTCAATATTGTCGCGGAACACGGTCTCGAAGGAGGTCTTGAAGGATTTCGTCGTAAAGACCTTGGAAGCCAACTTTCGCTGCCAGTACCATTGCTGCCGGTGAATCTACGGCGCACAAACCTCGCCGTCAGAGTTAAAGATGCCATGGCCAAAAACATCGGTCATGTACGGTGTAAAAATGCTTCCCTTTTCTGCAAATCAGCCGTCGAGACATACGATAGTTGTCAAAGTTGGTCGATGTGATGTACTGGAGTGACTCGGGATCACTTATAATGATTTTGACGGGAGAAAACGGCATCGACAGCATCAGCGGAGCATTGGAGCTGTTCCTGGCGTTGCTTTCAATAACAATGTCGTCGAGTCTGGCAGTGAGCATGCACAGCGCATTACTTGTCGAGATTCCCCATGAGCGCATACCAAGGCAGAGCACCCAGGATGGGAATGGTATGCGGAAACGACTGCACCTCGTCTCCGTAGCGGGGATACGACCCAACGGCGTTTTTGCGGTAGTAGAGCACTGAAGCAGAGGCTGCTACAAGAGAAAACGCAATACTTTTGTTCAGGTCCATAGTTTGTTTGGAAAGGCGTATTCGACATATTCGCCAGGCGGTGTCCGCTGGTTTCGCAAGCTGGATACAAGTTTCAGGTGCTTTTACGCGGACGCTACCATGCGGCTTATCGGCGACAAGCATAAAAACTTTATAACCACATGCGGATGGCTGTGCGGTGATTAAGCTTTTCGGTCAGAGCGGGCAATTTTGCACTGCAGTCCTGCTCCCTTCATAGGATTGGTGACCGAAAAGAGATACTCTACCTCGTCCAGATTGACGGGCTGGACTTTGAAGTGCAGCAGAATCGAGACCAGCACAAACACTCCCTGCAGCTCTGCCATGGTTTTGCCCAGACAGATGCGTGGTCCGCAGTTGAACACTGGATACTCGTACTGGGAAACCTTTGCGTCGCCAAGCCATCGCTCTGGCAAAAACATCGATGCATTCTTCCAGATCCTTTCTGAGCGACCCATCGCATAGTTGTTCCAAACAACCTGGGTACCTTTTTTGATTTTCAGGCCGTTGGGGAGGACGTCGTCGCCAATGGCTTCCTTTCCGTCTCGACGCACAGAGGGATGTAGTCGCAAGGTTTCGTTGAACACTGCCTTGGCATACTTCATCTCGCGCACCTGGTCGTAGGAAGGGATTGTTGCCTCTCCCATGACGGCCTTGGCTTCTTCCAGGATCTTGTCAACCACCTGGGGATGTGATGCCAGTTCATAAAAGGCCCACGACAGGGCCTGGGCGGTGGTGTCGCGGCCAGCAATGATAAAGTTGGCCACCTGATCGACCAGCTCGTCGTCGGTCAGGCTCGAGCCGTCGTCCTTCTTGAAGGCCATGAAGAGAGACAGCAGATCGTCGGCGTCCTTTTCGCCCTTTGTTCGTTTGTCTTGAATCAAGCCATGTCCAAACGAGCGGATCGTTCGAACGTCTCTTTGGTACTGGCCCTCGAAGCGGTTTCGGAGCCACAGGAGCGGATTGAGCGTCATGTGCGAAATTTGCAGCTGGGTTCGGTCAAACGCAGCAACAAAGGGGAGCTCTTTAAAGGAGAGCGAATTGAGATCGGCCCCAAACGCAATCTTGCCAAAGCTGTCCATAAAGAAGCGGTAAAACAGATCCTGCATGTCCACCAGCGTTTCTGTTGTTAGTGCCGAGTCCTACCATCTGTGGAAACACTGTCCAGCACCTCCAGAAGCAGATTCATATTGTCCTTGAACACGGTCTCGAACGAGTTTTTAAAGGACTTTGTCGTAAACACTTTGGAGGCCAGTTTCCTTTGCCAGTACCAATGCTGCATGGTTAGCCGACGTCGAGACTTGCCGCTCCGTCGGAATTGAAGATTCCGTGGCCAAAGGCATCTGTGAGATACGGCTTGAAGACGATTCCCTTTTCTGCGGCCATGAGTATCCGGCATCTTACGGTAGTTGTCAAAGTTGGTGGACAGGACATGCTTCAGCGACTCGGGGTCGCTAATGATGACGACGTTTGCGTTGAATGGAACCGATGCAAAGAGCGGACGGTTGGTTGCGTTCATTGCATTGTCTTTGACAATGTACTCGTCCATTCTAGTGTTGGAGACTGCTCACGCACCTGTGCACATTGCCCAAGAGAGCGTACCAAGGCAGTCCGCCGAGAATGGGAACACTGCACGGCACTGCCTGGACCTCGTCTCCGTAGCGGGGATAGGATCCAATGGCATTTTTGCGGTAAAACAAAACCAAAGTAGAGACTGCGGCTGCAGATAGCGCAACGGTGGTAGACAAGTCCATGGTGAAAGTGGTTCAGACAAGTGGCCACTCCGCCTGAAACAAACCGCCCCAGGCCCGACACCGCTGCAAGTAGATGGCATTCCGACAGGTTGCTGGGCATTGGCCATGGGCATTGGCTATAGGCAAGTGGTGCCAGTCCGTGCAGGACAAGTTGCCCAAACATTCCCTTGCAGCACCGCATGATTCAACTCCAATTCGAGCCCTTCAAAACACCGGTGGCTCCGCTGAAAACCCAGGCAATTATTGGCTCTTGTTTGGTGCAGCTGAGAAAAGTGATGGACTGGCACATTGACAAGAACAAGGACGCACTCGATGTCAATCTAGAACTGCTGTATCGAGTAAGTTTGGCGAACTAAGCAAAGTCTTGCATGTCGGTTTGTTTTGGGAAGGGAGACGCCAAGTCGGCCCAGGTTGGGCCACAGCTGCTGCTGGAGGCCGTGGTAGAGCTCCTGCAAAAGTATGCGCTGGTTATGAAGACACGGTTCCTGGAGGAAGCTCAGCGATCGGAGCTGCTAGGCGGATCTGCAATGGAGCTGGACGATGCCAACCACGAGCGGGCCCAGACCATCCACCAGACGCTGGTTTACCTGCTGGATGGGTGGAAAACATGGCTGGCCGCTCTCCACATGCTGTCGCACATCCTGCTTTGGCTCGACAAGACCTATTTGCTGCTGAAGGGAGAGTCCATTCTCGCCCTGGGAAAGGACATCTGGAAGCAGATCATACTGCAGGAGGAGAGTCTCGGCGAGCTGTGGATCCTGCTGCTCCGCCAGGGAGTTGCTCTGGAACGATCTGGCGAGTTTGTGGAGAAATCGACGCTGAAACACATTATTGAAATGTGGCATGAGCTCAACATGTACTATTCCCTGGAGGCACTGCTGCTGCAGGACGCCAGAGACTTTTATGGAAA